ATGACACACACGCACACACACATTTTTGTGCATCTAAGGCTCATTTATTTCATGTTCACTTGTATTTGAAACCCAGCTCCTATCACACAGTAGGCACACAATCAATATTTTTTGACTATTTTGTTACTAGCTTTACATTTTTTTTTTGCAATAAAAATAGTTTTCCCAAAAAGAATAAAAACCAAAACAAAAAACTTAAACCTCCAACAGTGAATGTGTTGGTTTTTCTTCTCAGAAATGATGATTTGTGGGAGGCTAAGGCGGGTGGGTCACAAGGTCAAGAGATTGAGACTATCCTGGCCAACATGGTGAAACCCCGTCTCTACTAAAAATACAAAAAAAAACTTAGCTGGGCATGATGGCACACCCCTATAGTCCCAGCTACTCAGGAGTCTGAGGCAGGAGAATAGCTTGGACTCAAGAGGCGGAGGTTGCAGTGAGCCGAGATCAAGCCACTGTACTCCAGCCTGGAGACTGGGTGAGACTCAGTCTCAAAAAAAAAAAAAAAAAAAATTTGTCCTGCTTCTCATCACGCCCACTCAGGCTCTTTCTAGGACTTCACTGAACAACTCCTAAGATGCAAGTTCCCTTAAATTCCTACAGGCAGTGGTACTACCAACAAAGACTTCTCTATTCTTCCTTTGCCTTCAGATGCTCAGGCCTGGGCTTCCGATATTCTGAAAGCATCCACGTTTATTTTTCTACCAGAGATATTTGATTTGTCCCAAATAAAGCTTTTTTTCCCATTTTGTGTGGTGTGAGGGATAACTAACTATGAGAATAGTCTAAATGGCATCTCCAAGGCCAGGGGAAAGCTTCTGATGGAATTCAAAATTCAGATCTGAAGCCTATGAATACGGTTACTGGGAGTGATTGACAGATTGAGGCCAGGTATCAAACAGACCTCAGATATTGACAGAACCTCTTCCATTGGAATGACCTCTCACTACGTGGGCAAGTGATCAATTACTGTGTACCTTCACTACCTTCAGAAACTCTCCTAATATTCCCTAATTCCATCTAACAGTATTTTTCCCCCTCCAAACCACACAAAGCACTCATAGCCCTTGACTAGGAAATTAAAGTTTATTTTCAATTTCCTCAGACAAGGCAAAAGCAAGGGTAAATTAACAGTCTGTAGCTTGTCTGGGACTAGAAAAGCATTGAAAATGTAGTGAGGAGTCGCAATGTAGGAAAACTGTCCAAAGACAATGCAATATTTAGCTGATGGTAATCTCAGAAGATATACTGGCAGGGCAGCAGCAGTTGGATGAACGCACAATATCTCTGGGAACAAAGGAAAAGAGGAGAGGGGAGGCAGTTATTGCAATGATCTAGACCAAGAAAAAAGCCATGGTTTATCTGTCTATACCAATCTTAATATACGAGACAACACAATATCTGTCAATTTCACTGGGTCCAAAATAGTCAACTCACTGTCACATGTAATTTACTCATTGTAAAGTAATCGTTTTCTGTCTTTATTTCTCACCTGAATATCTTCTGTTCCCAGCCCTTTCTTTTTAATAACATCATTTTTTTTCTTACCATAACAATAATTCTTGCATGTATCTATTCTACAAATTTTTATTGAATTTCTACCATGAGCAGGCAGTATTTGAGGTACAAAGGAAAGAGTGGGCAATAAAAAATGGTCAGGGACACAGGTTAATTAAAGAGATAACTACAGTTCAGTGCTATGATGCAAGGATGTAATAGAGGCTCTCAAAACACAAAGGAGGGGCCTAACCTGCTCTGAGGAAGGCTTTTTTGAGGAGGCAATAGATAAGCTAGTTTTGAAGATAAAATGGCTTAGATGGTGGAAGAAACATCCTATGACACCTGTGATCCCTCTTAGATAAAAGAGCTGAACATATATGTGTGTTTTCCTTCAGTATTTTAAACACACACACACACACACACACACACAACACACACTCACACATAGAGAGAGAAAGAGAGAGATTAGATTTATAGATATAATAATTATCTAAATGTACATAGATTTATGGAACTGTGATCTATATAGCATTCAATGTTTTTTTTCCATGTCTTTAAATATGTGTTGAAAACATGGATTTTGATAGATTAATAATATTATATTTAATAGATATTTCATAATATATTTGATCATTCTCTGTGTCTGTCAGTTTTGTTTGTAAGCCACAGAAAACAACACTGGCTATATTAAGCAGAAGATGAATTTACTGGAATCATATTAGGTAGCTCTAGGACCTATGGGGAGGCCTGGAAAAATAGGCTAAGAAAAGGGACAGAAATCAAAATAGGCTCAGCAGTGGGACCCCTAGCCAGGGCTGACCACAGAAACAATCTGTCTCTGGAATTTACTTAGGTTTCAATGTTCTAAACAGGGGCATCTTGCTGACCAAGCCTAGGTGATGTGTCCCACTTTACCTACAAGGGGACAGGCAGTATGAAGGATTGCTCTGTTTGATTCTGTAGTGAGAAGGCCCTGACTCCCATTAAGAGTCCCCAGTGGGGTCTACCTCTCAAACGGGAAAGGCATTAGGATGTGGCTTGCAGGAAACCACCAAGAACATCTAACTACCTCCCCGTTGTTAGATGTTTGGGTTGTTTCCTTTTTTCCCCCTTTGCTATTGTATTATAAAACTATGAAACATATTTTTCTGCAAAATTCTTGAGTACCTCTCTGATGATCTCTTTAAGATAAATTCTCTAGAAATGGGATTTCTGGATGAAAGCGTATGAATTTTTTTTTGTCTTAGTAAATACTGCCAAATTGCTTCTCTGAAAACTTGCATCAATTCAAGCTCACTCTTGGAGAGGGTATGAGGTGTGCATGGTTTCTCACTCATCATTTTTAGAAATCATCATGCTCACACCTTTCTAGGCTGTACTCATTTGTGCAGCCTGTACCTCACTTAAATTATGGTTCTCTGAAGTTGAAACACCTAGTGGCAAAGTGAACAATTGAGTAAATAAGTTGTTTATTTTCTTAAGTTTATTCGTGATAATTACTTTTATTATCTTCCTCATTAGTTTGATTAATACAGGGGCTTCTTCTTTTAATATGCTGTAGAGAAGCGATTTCTTTTTCTATTCTGGAAAGAGCATTTACAAAGCAGCAAGTGCATCTCTAGGAAATGCTCACCCTGCCTCAGCAGGTGACTCTCATTGACGCTGTCCAAGGTATCTCTCAGACATCCTGGGAAAAGGGGTAGACCACATCTCCAGAAGCAGGTCCTTTTGGCAGCCATAGCAGTGATTCAACTCCTATGGCCCTCAAGTTGGGATGAACACAAAACCCAAAGAGGTGATGAAATATTTCATGACTTTTCTATTAACTTAGAGGAACATCTTTCTAGCAACAAATTGAAAGGCATAAAAAATGTTAGGGCCTGGGCTTCCATCAAGAGAGTCCTAATGATGCCCAAAAAGGACCACTTGATAAGGAATCAAGTACACGGGATTTTGGGGGCAGTGAAACATCATATGGCAATTGAAGTGTCATATTATACGTGATACTGTAATGATAGATATGTAACATCACACATTTGTTAATACTCATAGACCTATATTGCACAAAGAGTGAACGCTAATGTAAACTGTAAACTGAATAATAATATATCGATATTGATTCATTATAACAAATGCACCGCACTCGTGCAAGATGTTAATAATAGGGAACGATGTGTTGGGGTAGGGGACTGCATATGAGAACTCTCTACCAGCTGCTCAATTTTTCTGGAAATGGAAAACTGTTCTAAAAAATAAAGCCTATTAACTAAAAAACATTTCAAAATTACACACAGAGAAATACAGTATATTCAAAAAGCAGCACTTGACTAGGAGTCTGAACCCTGGAATACCAGTCCTACTTTGTCATTGACTAGCTGTGTGGCTTTGGAGAAGTCACTTCACTTCTCCGGATTTTACCGCAGGGTTGGACCACATGATCTTTAAAATGATTCCCCCTTCTGATAACATAAGATCTCAGGATTACTTACTTTAGATTTTTCACCCTTGTCCAGACTTTGAATGTCAGTAGTAATCAAAACATGCCTTTCACTTTGCTGTCTGGCAAGAAATAATGGAATGAATAAAACACAAGTCTTTTCCCCTTACCCGGGGGCTCAGAAGCCTCTCTAGAGCTAGCAAGACCTATATAAAAGTCAGGTGTAAGACAAATAAGGCAAGCTGATGTTTTTCCAGAGAAAGCCACTTTTTTCCTGTTTGCATAATTTGATTTTAATGTTCTGCTCTTGTTAAGTTCTCTCCCACTTGTAGATGTTTACACAATGGGCTATAGCCATATAGTTTTATTGTTGGTCATTAACCATGGGTTAACCTTTTAAATGGACTTAAGTGGCTTATTAAGTATGCAATTCATGACAACTACAGATAAGTCCTGATTTTGGATCACGGGTATGAACCATCTCTGGGTGTCTGTGCTTGGCAGGTAGCCCGCTTGATGCTGAGCTCTGATTGGTTGGATGCTCTTGGGACCATGTGACCTTAGGTTCAGGCTGTGGTGCACGTTCATGGGCTGGTGGGTTGAGGTAACCACACTGGTCTTAAAGGAATGTCGATCTCATTGGAAAGTGTATATAGCAAAGAATAATTTTCAATTTTCCCTAAGTAAATATCTGGCAAAGCCTAGAATTGGATCATGTCCAGTTCTGCAGATAAAATGCCCCCAAACAGATTTCCGCTGAAGAAAGGCTGAAAATATATGCACATTTATATTTTTCTAATTTAGGGAAATCTCATTAATGTGAATAATGCAGAATAATGTACAATGAGGTAGTGGTTGATATTCTCATGCTCGTATAAAAGGGAGTTCGTTATGGTCCAACAGGAGGTTAGCACTTACTGAAACTCTTTCTATATGAGGTCTTTACACATGTAAGCTCCTACTTAGTCCAGGAATAGCAATACACAGCAGCACTTGTGCCTCAACTCTTTCTCCTAAGCTCAAAGCAGACATTCCTAATGTAAAATGACATTCCTTCCTGCAGAGATGGCCAGTTGAAGTCAAAGGGGGCTTTCAAGAAGGATCTAATGAAGGCTTGTAAGAAGAACCTCCCTACCAATGAAGTCAACAAGCCTATCTTCATGGGAAGCCACCTTTCCTGGAGAAGAAATCTTGCTTCTTGGAGACAACTGCCTTTAAGCTCATGGATTAACGTACCAGGATGTTAAATTGACTTTCATTGTATTCTTAGAGCCTTAACTGAGACCCCAGAACAAAGGTCAGTGATTATTAAGTACTCATTCTTTCTGGAAAACATAGATCCTAGACATATCCTTGGGAGGTTACTGAGAGAGAGCAAAATGGTCCCTCATGTCCATCATTCACATCCATCCTGTATAAGAGAAAGAAGACCAGACATTTTAAAAGACAGGATTAAATGAAGGAATGTTTTAGGAGTGAGTAATTCCCCCTAACCACCTCTACTCCTTCCAGGCAAGTAAAAGAGCTGCAAGAGTAAATGGTGGCGGTATTTGGGATACATTCCTCTGCCTAAAATACTCTGAAAGCTGGAGGCTGGCTGAAAATGGCAGTGATAGTTGAGCTAGGAGAGAGGGTGGCAGTAGAAGCAACAGAACTTGTATCATTTGTAGGGCAAGATAAATGGGTTTTCCCATGGGCTGAGTAGGCACAGTGGAGGGCAGTCAGGCTCAGCCTCTTTGAATGGGCTGAGTCCCAGAGGGCTGCCTGTTTGTTTCTTTTACCCAAATGTCAGTTCAAATGGTACATCCTCAGAGATGCCTCCCCTGACCACCTAAGCTAACATAGTGTTCCCTGCAGTCACACAGTATTACATCACCTGGTTTATTTCCTTGATACCACTTACAATATGAACCTCTGTTTTCCTTTGTTAGTTTATCTATTGTCTGGCACCTGTCCCAAATTTTGCAGGGAGAATTGGAGGTGGAGAAGTGAGGATTTGGGGAAGGAATCTCAAAGAGGACATTCTTTGCAAGATAAAATCATCTTATTAAATTTAAGTTTAATGAGAACAGGACCTTATTCGTCTTATTCACCACTATTCCAGGTACTTGGAACAGAACGTGGCACATAGTAGCTACTCAACAAAAATGTATAGACCAAGTAAATCCCTGCCAAGCACAAGCCCTAGGAGATAAATAGACATCAGTTGGTTCTGAGAATGGCAATTTTTCCAGTCCGTGACCTGCTTGTAAATGTCTATGTTAAAAAGATGCAGAGGTAGAAACAGGTAGGAATTATAAACTGTAATAAACTTTTGTCCTCTTCGGGTTTCTATTATGCCTATGGTTCACTGTCTGGATAAGCACGAAGTAAGACTTTAGAGAAGTTTTTTCCTTCTCCTTTCCTTCTAGTCTCTCCTTATAATCTGCAAAGTCTGCTGGCCCCTGGAAATTCACATGGGCACTTAGTTGGTTTTGATTGATTGGGTTGGCAGTGATGAGCTCTCACCAGCCTTGATATGCCTCGAGGCTTCAGGGAAAGTTGAGCCCCTGCCCAGATGTTTGGAGACAATTTGGGAAGGTGGAAATATACAAAGGACATGCATTTGCTAGTGTTATTTATGGCTTTTGTGCACATCCTCCTAAGTAATGTTAAGTTAAAATTGTTTACTTTAAGCAAGTTTGTGTCTTCAGTGATTAAGATTCCCCAAAAACAAATTTATGGGAAAAACGTGGGTAAACCAGGGTATTTTGAAAGCCATTCATTTCCCATGTTTTTGATTAGAATCACAAATTAAATCTCCACAAACCTAGCGATACAGTGAAGTGAGAAATTACAGCTTTTCCTTTCTGTAAGACTTTTTTTTGGAAAGCTTGAATTAAAAATAAAAATATATTTAAATAGCACTTTGCTGTTTACCAGCACTTCTACCTATATTATATCATGTGGTTGAGAAAAGAAGAATTATTTAGTAAACTTTAAACTTATGAAGTCATAAAGCTGGAGAAACTTCTGGATGTTCAGTCAGTAAATGGATGTTTGAGTTCAGTGTGGAGACAGAATCACCATTGCATGTCTTATTTAGAATTAGGATTATACATCAGGTTGACCTTGAATCATGGATCACCTAACAGAAAGTTAGATAAGGCTGCTTTAAGAACTAAAAGGCCCCAAAAGTGCAGTCACATCCATGTGGATTTGTGGAGCCCATGGTAAGACTAATGGAGAGGTCCATTTATATATGTATAAATATTTAAAATGTGTAAATAAAGCCAGAAAACTGTTAAATTAAAATATAGTCCATCCTCCTACCTTGACAAGTAGAACTTCATGACTCTCTGGAAGGCCAGATTTGAACTGCAAATTCTTGGATGCCTCAGGTGGATGTTTCTGGTAGAATGTGGCAGGGTCGAAAGAGTCTCACTTGGGTCGCACCTCCTTTCCTTTCCACTTCAAGTTCCATCTTATACCTTAGGGGCCTCAAGTGCAGGCAAGTGCATATCCCAACCCCACATCCAATCTCTATCCACACCTCATCAGGAAGGTGGGCCCTGGGGAAGAGGCCTGCTTGGTCCTCAGAAGTGAACTCAAGGCCATTAAGTCAGGCAGTTCCAGGCTGCTGGGTACTTAGTATGAAGAAGGTGGGTTCAGACTCTGGGTGGACATGTTTCCTTGGGCCCTGGGAGTCCTCACTCCATGAGGAGAGGTATAGTTAGAGGAGGAAGCAAACAGCCTTCTCTAAAGTACAGGAACCTGGGCAGGGCCCCTTGTGCCTGGATCTAAAGGTGGTACTAAATTCAATGATAGTTAGTGCTATGGCCTGAATGTTTGCGTGCCTCCTGAGTTAATGCATTAAAATTCTAACCCCCAAAGTGATGATATTAGGAGGTGAGGTTTTGGGAGGTGATTAGGTGAAGGGAGTAGTGCCCCTTATAAAAGAAGCCTGAGAGGGACCTTCACCCCTTTCTCCAGATTAGGTTATGATAAGAAGACAGCTGTCTATGAACAAAGGAAATGGGCCCTTATCATATGCCAAATCTGCCAGGGGCTTGATCTTGGACTTCCCAGCCTCCAGAACCATAAGAAATAAATTTATGTTTTTCGTAAGCCACCTAGTTTCAGTTTTTGTTGTAGCAGCTCAAATAGACAAAGACAGTTGAAATTAAACTGAGCATTGTTTGCTTCTCAACTTTCATCTTAGATATTCTTTCCTTTAAGTAAAACATTTGTAAATGCTATACTACCTAAAGCTGCCCTAACCAGAGACCTATTTTAAATGACACCCAAGTTAATTAAAAAAAAAAAAACATATTTGAAAGGGGGACTACTTAGGAGGAAGAATTCAGTAGTTAGGACAAATGAGCCAAAATTTGAAATAGAAAACAGATAAAGCATTCCATCTTTAGTCTAGACAGATGAACTAAAAGAGCTATAATCACAATAATAATGTCTTTGAAAGTATAACTTCTTGTTTCCAAAACACTTTCACTTACATATGTATCATTGAGTTCTTATGAAATTAAGCATCAATTCTTTGAAGTTTAAAATATATATACTCTAAACAAATATAAAAAGGAACACTTGACACTGTGAGGAGTAAATTCATAGACTCTATTAGCCAAGGAATGGTGGAAATGAGAGGTGGAATGATGTAGAAAGAGAAATCAAAGGCAGTAAACAGGCTTCAGCTTGGCCTAACTCTGTCTGATCTTTGGATAGTGGCCACTGAAGTGCTTAACTGAGACAATCTTAGGTCCTGCCTGACCTCAGTGTTTGGTAATAAATTAGCCATGCCTGTTACAGTCAAAGAAGAGGCCATGATGACATGTGAGCCATGAATGTGCCACTTCTGGGCTGGACAAATGCATGTGGCTGACAGTAAGGGCAAGCAGGATGCTTGGGGTTATGCTTAATCTTTTGAAGTTGTTGGCAAGGAGAAAAATCAATGCAAATTCTTAAGAATTCTCATGTTCTTGAATATTTCTGTCTATCTCCAGCAAAAACAATTCATTTCAGGTTTCTTTGAAAAAGAAGCTGCTTTCGACTTACTTTCTCATATGGAAAAGAGATGAGATAGACACCTGTTAAGGTGTTAATTGGGGCTAACTGGATGAATAGAAGACCTGGATTCTTTTCTCATCTCTGTCACTAACTAGCTGTGTGACCTTGAGCAAATCCCTTAACCCCTTCAGACCTCTATTTCCTTTTCTCCAAAATAGGGATATTATCTGAGTGATCTCTCAGAGCTTTGTGAGGCTTAAAGTAGTAAGTAACAAGACAATTACTTGAAATATAGACCATTACACCATTGTAAACCATTACGATTCCACTGAAAAATGAGCAAATAAGTCTAGGATAGCATTTCCCAAAGTGTGTTTTTGGAACATCAGTTCTATGGGATGTCAACAGGTATTATGCTAAAGCTATCTAACAAACAACAAACAAAACGTGTTTTCTGGACAAATAAATTTAGAAAACTCAAGGCTAAACAAGCTTACGTAGTTATTTTACCACATAAATTATTAGCCTTTTTAATGTGCATTGTGAATCACTAAAATTAAGAAACTATATGCAGTAGTTCAGACATTTCTTTGGACATAAAACTCTTTCTCAAAACATTAGTCCTTCAGAACACAGTCCTTTGGAAATTGTTACACAATCTACTCTTCAGGTTCTCTTCTGACTTGAAGGCCCTCTGATTCATTTGTTTATTCAAAAAATATTTATAGAGTCCCTATTATATACCAGGCCCTGTTCAGTGTGTAAAAAAATACATCAGTGTACAACACAGCGAAACAAATCCTTGCTTTCATGGAGCTTACATTCTAGCAGAATTTGACGTCACTCACTCAAAGTATACTCATGGTTAGAGAAGTGACTGCTATCCCTTAACTCAAAGACATAAGACTGTAAAGTAGAATCATTAAAAACAGACAAAGGGCCAGGCGCGGTGGCTCAAGCCTGTAATCCCAGCACTTTGGGAGGCCGAGGCGGGTGGATCACGGGGTCAAGAGATCAAGACCATCCTGGTCAACATAGTGAAACCCTGTTTCTACTAAAACTACAAAAAATTAGCTGGGCATGGTGGCGTGTGCCTGTAATACCAGCTACTCAGGAAGCTGAGGCAGGAGAATTGCCTGAACCCAGGAGGCGGAGGTTGCGGTGAACCGAGATCGTGCCATTGCACTCCAGCCTGGGTAACAAGAGCGAAACTCTGTCTCAAAAAAAAAAAAAAAAAAAAGAAAACAGACAAAGACCAGTGGGGAAGGATAGTTTGCAGAGAAAGTAGGGAAGACTGTGCGTCACTCTGGCTGTCTATCCCTCGGCCTGTGAGTTGAGGTTAAACTCTGAACTCAGATCTGAAGAAGTAGATGGCTTCTGCATCAGAGGACACACGATCCCATTTGTTTGTTTATTTATTCATTTATTCATTCATGCCACTATTCAGCACATAGTTATAGGCATGATCTATGTCATACTCAATAGTGCGTAAGACCCAATTTGAACCCCCAGAGCTGGCTTCCAGGTGGGCAGGCAGATCAGGACATGGGAGATTGTGCCTGTGTGTTGTATGTGCTATGGGGGAGAGGACAGCATGATATGGGGCACACTCCTGGGGCACTGAACCCTCGACATCAGAGAACGTGTCTTAAAGTGATGTTTAATCTGAATTATCCAGAGGGTGACAGGAGTTTGTTTAGCAAACTGACTTAGGGTGAGTCGGGGGAAACGGTGAGTAGGAGAAATGCTCTACTTAGTGGACCCAGTCTGTACCTAACAAAACTCCCATGGCAAGTTTAAACAGTGAAACTGGCATGAAAGACATATGTATATATTAGTGTTCTGTGTGTGATTCTCTTTGAAAAAGGGTTCTGCTGTTGAAATAAAACTTGAAAATCATTAGTGGTTTCCCAAAGGAAATTTTTGAGGCTACTGCCATGTTTATAATTCTTAAATTCTACTGCTTACAGAAGTCTTTCTCTCAAAAGTACTTGCATTTTCATGGGGACTTTTGGCAGACAAATTTCTTTTAAATCTGAGGTACACATTGCTACTGGCAGATGGTATTCACTGAAATTATTTTGGTGACAAATGACAGAAACCTCATTTCAAGATGATTTTAGCAAAATAAGAAATTAATTATCTTACATGACAAAACAATTCAGAGAATGTTTGATCCAGAGACTCCAAATCTAGTCTCTCTCCATTTCCGTCGTCTGGCCTTTGTCCTCAATCTCAGCATAGCAGCAGGAGGGCTGCTGACGTCTCCATGTCTGCATCTTTCATGTCCAAGCCTAGTGGAAAAGTGGGTTGCCTTCCTGAAGCTACCACATAAATCCCTGTATTCACTCTGATTGTACCATCTTATCTCGTGTGGCCATCTCCAAACCAACCACCGTAGCCAAGAAGATAAAACTACAAAGATTGGATAGGCTTGAATCACATAATCCAAGCCAGGAGCAGGAAGTCAAGTCCCACACAAACCACTTGACTGAGAATGATTTCCTAAAAAATCCTGGGGCTATAAGCAGAAGACTAGGGAGGGAGGCAGAGGGTGAAGGAGAGGGAGAGAGTTAGGGAGAGAGAGTCAAGGAAGAAGGGAAAAAACAGAAGTATCACAGAAAAAGGGAATGGAAAAAATCAGGAAAAAATGTCCTATTTCCTTTTAATAAATGTAAAAAATGAATCTATGCTATAAAGAATTTTTGGTTGTCAGAAAGGGAAGGGCAAGTAGGGAGAAAAGAGGAAGAGTTGTGAATTAATACAACTAGATATGGGTATTCCTTAGTCTGTCGTTTATCAGTCTCTAGGTAGGAGAGGAATTTAAAGGTCATCAATTCCAAGTGGTCATTGGATGCTTGAAACTCCTTCAGCCACACAGCCAGCATACAATTAACTTATGTCCTTGAATACCTTCCCAGTGACAGGAAGCTCATGCCTCCTGTAGCTAATTACGTCTTTGCTGAGTGTTTCCCATTGTTGGCTTATTAGTTCTCATAATGATCTGAAGTCTTCTTCCTTGTAACTCTGCTGGCTTCAGTTCTCTCTTATCCAAGAAGGGAAAGCTTAATTCAGTGGGGGTAAACTGGTAGACTATGGCCAAATCTGAATCTAGACAAGATCATTGCCCAGCACAATATAGTGAATGTGGTTGACTGTGGGTGCTTTAGTGGGCCGGCACAGCCCTTTTCCTATAGCCCACAACTCCCTGCTGTTCACACCCTGGGAACTTCATATGTTTATGTGAACTGCCTGGACTGGGAAGGAATGTGATTTCACAATTCCTGGTCTAATTCTTCTTTCACATAGTAGTTGGCCAGGCACTTGAAGACTGCTATGTCATAGATTAAAAAAAGAAAGAGCAAAAAAGAGAAGAAAATCTGGAAATAATACAGCCTGGTGAATTCTTCCTTAAAGCATCACCTTGAGGGTAATGTATACTTTCTCCAGTGATACTGCGTTGGCTCAAAAGGATTTTCAAACTTCTCTTGGAATTTTTTTCAGAGCCTGAAGCATGTTCTTTGAATATCCTTAATGGTGGTGAATCCTCATTCTTTGGGGGTGGTTTTGATTTTGGGAAGAAGCTGGAAGTCATTGAGAGCTGAGTGTTGACCAACAGGGTAGCTGGTGCATCTGCCTCATCTTGCTTCTCTGTGTCCAAAGCAAAGTGCAATGATGTGCTTATGAGTCTGAGATCCTTGCAGGTTCCTTTTAATTAATTCATTCATTTATTGTTTTATTTAATTTCATTAACTTAATTACCAACACATTCACCTTTCACATTTCAAAGGGCACAACAAATATATAATAAAAAGTTCTTTTGCCTTCCTTTCCCCCAGGCATCTGGTTTACCTTCCATGTTTTGTGTGTATCCTTCCAGAAAGAGCCTACACATATCCCTTAATTGACTTGAAGAAGGCCAAGAGAGGTATTTCTAAGTAACTGAAGTAATGCTTGAATGTTGGCCGAAGAGCACTGCAGTGCGCGTAAGCTCTGGTAGGTTTATGCAGAATGCAGGTGTCAATACTTTATGCTTAGGACCCTGAGAAGTCTCTATAATAGGAAGCAGTTTCCTAGCTCAGATACCTGAGCTGTGTGAGATCAGGTGGGTTACTTTTTCTCTTGAGCTTTGGTTTTCTCGTCTGTAAAATGGGGATAATGTCAACAACCTCCTTCACAGGTTATCATGAGGATTAAGTGCATTGATGTATAAAAATGTCCTAAAGAGGGTGTGATGGTTTATTTTGTATGTCAACTTAGTTCAGCCTTGGTACCCAGTGGTTTAGTCAAACACTAGTCTAGATGTTGCTGTGAAGGTATTTTGTAGATGTGATTAACATCTGCAGTCAGTTAACTTTAAGTAAAGCAGATTACCCTCCATTTTGTAGGTGAACCCCATCTAGTCAGTTGCAAGCTTAGAGCCAAAACTGAAGTTTTCTAGAGAAGAAATTCAGCGTCAAGACTGTAGCCTAGAAGTCCTGCCCAAGTTTCCAACCTGCTGGCCCGCCCTATGGATTTCAGATTCAAGACTGCAACATCAACTTTTACTTGAAATTCCAGCCTACAGGTTTGGGACTTACCAGCTGCCACAATTGTGTCAGCCAGTTTCTGAAAATAAATTCTCTCTCTCTCTCTCTCTCTCTCTATGTATGTGTGTGTATACATATATATATATATATATGTATACACACACATATATTCTACTGTATTCTATTGATTCTTTTCTCTGGAGAACTCTGACTGATACAGAGGGAGAAAACTGCATTAAATAAACCTAGGTTTTAGTCCTGGCTCTCTCTCCAACTGGCTAAGAGGCTAAGCAGCCCTAGGAAAGACCCCTGATACTAATGAGCTTCTAGCATCATCACCTGCCTAATGCCTCTCAACATTGCTGGGAAGGTGACCATCAGGAAAATGGTTTGTCAAGCATCCTATATGTGCAGGTTATAATTATTTTGAGTCTGTCCTTTTGAATGCGCACATATCCTTCAAGTTGTGCTTTGGTGGCTCCCAGACCTATAACCTCTTCAGAGATGTTTCCTTTCCAGGCATTGATTCTTAACTCTGTCTTTGTCAAGCTAATAGTCAGGGAATGAAATCCAATCTAGCCTCAGGTACTTGTCAAGGGGGATAGAGGGCTCCACCCAAGGCTCTGCACCCACTGGCAAGGGGAAGCAAAGTTAGGAGGGTGGGGGAAAGTGAAGAGAGGAACTTATGGAGGTGAGAGTGGGCGTGGGGGAGGGGAGGGGAATGAGAGAGGAAGGAAGACCTGTGTTAAGATGGGTCCCCAGGGGTCCAGGGCTGATTTGCTGGGGTAGCTGGGTCAGCTCTGCAGATTGCAGGCTGATTGCTGCAGATTAGCTGGGACCTAAAAGGGGCCTTGTCAGAGCCCATGAATCCAGTGCTGAATATTCTGCTATTTCTCTTTTCTCAGGGATAGAGCCAGTCAAATCAGAGAGGGCTGGGGGGTGGTAGGGAGAAGCACTACGAATAACCTGCCTCCTTTGCCATCACAGTGCATCAAAACACCATTCAGTCCCATCTCCAATTGTTTTCTCCTTTGCAAGGGATTCAACAGCTGGCACTTGAAAGGGAAGAAACTTTCTGTGGTGTCTAAGAGGCCCCATGTTGCTTCCCACCCCACCCTGGTGTTCTTTATTTCATCACTCAAATCTTTTCTTTCATGCCACTTATCACAAGCTGAAATTATTCGATAAAAAATTATTTACCAAAAACTGCTCTCTCCACCAGAATGTACCACTTTATCTTATTTGCTTCTCCCTGTAGTGCAAGTTCCCAGCAGAGTGGTACATAGTAATGCCCCTAAAAATGTTTCTTAAAGAATGGATGAATACCATTTACTAAGGGGCCTGTGTGCCAGGCAAGGAGTTCAGAGCTGTACAGGCATTTCTCATCTGCTTTTAATGATAGCTCTGTGAAGAAGGTATGATCATCTTTATTTTACTGATAAAAAAAACTAAAGTCCAGAAAGATCAAGTAACAAGTCCATGGCCGCACAGTCAGACCTGGGATTCTAATCGAGGTTTCACTGACTCCAAAGTATATGATTTTAATTACTGTACCAGGGATAAAATATGCATTTTCTGCAGTGCTGGCATCAGTTGATTGGCAGTTGCTACAAGGAGTCCATAGCTGAGAATTGTCCAACTTGGTGGAGAAGAGTGCAGAGATCAATTAGTGATGTCTGCAAGAGGTGAAGTAGAATGTCTAGCAGCACATGTACCATCTAGTTTTCATTTTAACACCTATTGCCTCCTAAAGATGTGCACTGGAGGCAAAGAAAAAGAAGAGAGAAACTAGGAGACAGAAACACTTGACTTCTTTTCTGGCCCTGGTTTTCACCCCTTCTTGCTGAACTCTTCTCTGAAATGAGAACACATCTATCTATATGCTTGTTTGGAGGACAGAACGCAATCAGAAGTAGGAAAAAGTTTTGAAAAGTCTTGGAAGTAAAGGGTGTGATATTGCTTCTTAAGCTGACTTCATGATGCTTGAGGGACTTTGGGTCACCTGACATTTCTGTGGGACTCCAACACTTCTGGCAAAGGTGCTATTGCTATGTCCCAAAAGCCTTTCAAAGAAAGCAGGGAAAGGGAATGAGGGGAGGTGACAGCCAAGCTGCAGAGCTGGACTTTGGGGATGGGAGCCTGCTACACTTAAACTTTTGCAATCTTTTGGCCATGCGGTCATCATGATGACAGTAGGACAGTAGATTGGTTGAGTGGGGCTTATTGAGTTTAAGTCTCAATATTACTGCTTACTGTGTAATCTTGGATAAGTGATTTAACCTATTTGAGCCTTGATTGCTCACGTGAAATAGCATCTATCCAAGGGCCTGGTGTGAGAATTAGATGAGACAGTTTGAGGCCAGATATGGGGCTCATGCCTGTAATCACAGCACTTTGGGAGGGCAAGGCGGGTGGATCACTTCAGGCCAAAAGTTTGAGAGCAGCTTGGCCAACATGGTGAAGTCCTGTCTCTACTAAAAATACAAAAATTAGCCGGAGGTGGTAGTGTGTGCCTGTAATTCCAGCTACTTGGGAGGCTGAGGCAGGAGAATCGCTTGAACCCGGGAGGTGGAGATTGCAGTGAGCAGAGATCACACCACTGCACTCCAGCCTGGGAGACTGAGTGAGACTCTGTCTCAGAATAATAATAATAAATTAAATTAAATTAAATAAATAAGACAGTTTGTAGAAGAAAACAATGTGGCCCCAGCACACAAGCATGAAATGCGTGTAAGTTACTGTTGTGAGGAATCTGTATGCACAAGTGGAAAATGGAAAATGAGAGCAATGATCTGAATCTATGTATGTTGTTTCAAGCTAGATAATTGGTGGTATTTTGGATTTTGTTTGTTTTCCTAGTTTTTTGCTTGCATCTGGATGTTCTGAATACCCACACTTAGTATTTTTCTCAGAAAGGAGAAAGGCAAGTTTGCTCAAAACTGTTCATCTCCTTGAAATATCCAGTGTATAGTTCTTGCTGCTGTTAGGCCTCTCTGTAATTGAATAAGGGGAAACATCACCCTCTCACTGGTTGTTGAAAAACTGGGTTTGGGGAATATAAAATTGGGCATTGCCCCATTTGCCCATCATGAAACACACTGGCCCAGGACAGCCTTCCTTCTCTTCATCTTCTGTAAGAAATAGCTTAGGCCATGGCTGTGTATGGTGATAACTACCATTTATTATGGGGCAGTAATATTGTGCTAGGAACTTCATGCTCCTGACAGCCCTATGAGGTATCCGCGATTGCCACTCCTGCTTTGCAGATGATGAGATTACCTCAGCCTGGTATGTTTAACTCACCTGTCTAAAGTTATACAGTCAGGAAGTAGCAGAGCTGGGATTCAAACCTAGGTCAGTCAGGCCTCAGCATCCCCATGCTAATGACTTAGTTTGACTGCCTAATGAGAACTGTTAGTGAAGAATCTGTTTGGCAGAAGGGATGAAATGTCAGATTTATAAATGAGGGGCTGTGAGAGATGGTGGAGGGAGTCACAGCCATGGTTCTCCTGCCCAGCTGCCCATTTGAATCCCCTGAGGAGCACTGATGAAATAGAGATGCCTGTTCCCACCCCCAAAGCTGTTGATGCACTTGATCTAAGATGGAGCCAGAGCTTTCCAGGTGATTCTGATGGGCTTCTAGGCTTGAGAACCACTGGGGCAGAGAAAGAAGGTTTGGGGAGACATTTAGCAAATTCCTTGTGGTTAGGAACTTTTCCATTCCCTCTAAGAAGTGGCTGACTCACATTCTAGGTGGTGTACCTTTATCTCAGTATCTCCATTTGCAGGATGTGGGCAATGGAGCTTGACAGCATTGCAGGCTGCTGGGTGGATAGACAGCTCATAATGTGCCATTTAAATGGGAAGCATTGGGATGAAGTGTTCCTGGGGCTTGAAGTGACCCTATTTTAGTTTCAGTGTAGGGGTGCTCGGGCCACATCCTAAGCAACTTGGAATCATCTGGACCCACTGACAGCAAGTGGTTAATCCTATAAGGCCAGGGGGTGAGGGATCTGCTCACACAGCTGGGGGTAGCTGGGGAACCTCACTGTCCCATCCTTTGGTTGAGGAACAGCGTGAGCCGACATATAACTAGAACCATTAACTGGCTTTGGATGTGGAGAATGAGATTTGTGGCCCCTGCTCACTAAGGAAATATGAAATGGTAAACACACTTCCAGTTATGGATGGGGCTAAACACACCATTCAACTGAATGCTAATGGCTGCCTCCTGCTCCCTTCGAACATTTTACCATGGCAACCAGCAGGTGCCCTTCTCTTGCCTTCTCTTTCAGCTTCCCATAATTCTCTTCTGCCGTGGTTCTTTGGATGATAATGGGCGCATGCCTGAAATAGTAGTTAGGAAGAGAATAAGAATTTAACAACAATAACAACAAAAGCAAATGAGGCTGGAGTAGGTTTCCAGCTCATATTATTTGCTTGTAGACTGTAGCAATCTCAGGTATTGAGAACAGGTCAAAACAGACTGAGATGAACATCTTTAATTGATGTGAGTGTCTTAAATATACTTGATGCCTTTAACATGCAGGCATCAAGCCCGACTTCTGAAGCCCAGTCACTAAGTTGTGGGAGCAGCATAACTTAGGGTTTAACAACAGGAAGACAGGAGTTTGACATACTTAAGTATAAATCTTTCCCTACTGCCTAGAGGCTGTGTGGCCTTGGATAAATAACCTTCTCTTTCTGTGCCTAAGTTTTCCCATCTGTAAATCATGGCTAATAATAAAAAAACCTTTCTTCATAGGGCTATTGCGGGGTTGGAGTGGTTAAAGACAAATGGGCTTAAAGCTCTCAGTATAGTGCCTGCCACAAAGTAGATTCTGGATAATCAATAAGTATTCTGATGATGATGATATGATTAACAACTTGCTGGGCAACGTTAGGCCTGTAACAACCCTAAGCTTCAAATTTTTCATCTGCAAAATGCAAGCTAATCATAGTACTTGAGTCATTTGCTTAAGCCTCTAGATAAGAATTAAATGATGAAAAGTACTTGGCACAGGGCTTGGCACATAAT